GATTTTGGCTCAGGTCATAATCTCAGGGTTGTGAGATTGAGCCCTGTATTGGACTCCACACTGGGTGTGGAGCCTGCTTAAGATTCTCTCTCTCCCTCTCCCTCTGTCCCCAACCCCTCTCTAAAAAAGAAAAGAAAAAAAAAAAGTGCCAGAAAAATGTTTGATTATAGAAACCAAAGAGGGGCAGGGTAGGTGGAGAACTTCCAGAATGAGGGGATGGCTATCATTCTCAGGTATTGCCTAGAGGATCAGGATACTCAATTCTGAGAACAGACCACTTTCTTTATTGCACATTTGCCTTTTTCTCATCATTCACTCTCATTTCACTTGTTTTGTCTTTAGCTCTTGAACTAGATTATAAATTCCTTGAGGGCAAGGTCTATGTCTTACTTTCCTTCTAGTCTTTGTGCTGCCTGATGCAGAGCTGTAGCCATAGACTGATATGAAATGTGAAAGCTCTCTGCATGCAGATGATTAATCATCACTAAAATTTTTCCAAAGACACAGGCTCTAGTGCCAAGAGCACATTTGTTTAAAATGTGCGCTTAAATTTGAATGAATCTGCCTAAATGCTGCCATCTGTTCTTAGGCAGTTTCAGAAATGTTTTAATACAATTTTACCTTTAAAAGGACAAATGTAGGGGCATGCTTATGAGACATAAAGACACCCTTAAATAACACAGAGCAGACACCAGCACATTCAATCACACTTAAAACAGCTACACATAAAGAATGTTTTCTGAGGTTTAAGAAAATTTTAGCTAAGAGGACAGCAACTACTACTTCATGCAGGAAATATTTATGAGAAGTTACAAAATTGTAGGCATGGACTCTGACAGCATATTACTGAATTTTAATTACAGACTCCAGAAATACAATTTAATTTGATGTAAATTTCACATTCCTTTGAAATGGGTCCACTCTTCCATTATTTGCTAATGGCCACATTTTGCTGTGATTTCAGTGTATCCATGTAGATGCTGAAGACAGCTGTTGGGGATAGTCTCTGTGTTATTCATTTATATCAATCACCAATTTGACTTTTGTGACAGTACTGTAGAATTTATCGTTGTGTGAATATAACAGTGAAATGAAACCCATGTTTAAGTTCTGCAAATAACTTCCAGTCACTTTCAAGACACCTCAACTTAGGTTCTAAATTTGAGTTGCGGTTTTGCAGGCACAGTTATTTGCCGATCCACTTCAGCATGCAAAATCACACACTGGCCAGATCTGGGTATAGTAATTGTGGCAACGGGTAATGGGGTCACATTTTCAGCCCATTTAACTCACTGGCTACATCATCACCAAAATAATGCCAGTATTTTGACATCAGTGTATTTTGCTACTTGGTATAAATCAACAATGGTGTATATCAAGAACTCCTATTTACAGAAAGAAATTTCTGGTTAAAATAGCATCCAAGTGTGTTACCCTATCTGAATACGTGAGCATCCATATGGATATTGTTTCATTAAATCCCATTTTGCAGAGGTGGAGAGCTGCACCCATTTACTTATGTGAGCACTCATTTGGAATATTTTTAGATGATTTTTTATTTTTAGGTATCAGAATTTGCTTCTGATCATTTTAAATACATAGAATATTACAGATACAATTGAAGCCCTCTTGTTGGCCTTTTGCTTTGTATCCCTCACAAAGGCAACTCTTATCATTAATTTGCTGTGTCCTTCCAAACCATATCTAAGTTATAGAGCCATGAACAAATTTTTTAGGTAACATTGCTTTTTTGATTACCTAAGTTCTATCACAGGTATCATTTTGATTATCTAAGTTTATATCATTCTTTAATATGCTTTTTTTCTTCAGCATTTCAGAAATCCCATCTGTCAATCTATCCAAAAGATGCTTCGTTTTAACTTCTCTATAGTTTGAATTATCCCAGTTTATTCATCTTTTCCACCACAGATGTTCATTTAGGTGATACATCTTGCACCAATTTTTTACTATCCCCAAACAGTGTTGCAGTAAATGTTCATATGTGTGTATATTATCCACACCTTTTCTCTCTCCTGGTGTTCCCTGTTTCAGATTTCTCTCCAGGAAATACCTCGTAGTCTGAGACTGGGTTGTAGGTTATATGCATCTGCAACCTTATCACATATTGTCAAATTGCTCTCAAAAATGGATTCTTTTTTTTAAATTTTTTATTGTTATGTTAATCACCATACATTACATTAGTTTTAGATGTAGTGTTCCATGATTCATTGTTTGTGCATAATACCCAGTGCTCTGTGCA